GGTTGGGATGGGATGGGATGGGATGGGATGGGATGGGATGGGATGGGTGGGATGGATGCTCCCTCTGGCAGCTAAAACAATCTCCCCTCCCACATCGTGTTTCCCCAGTGAGGGGCCCTTTGCCATCTCCAGTTTCTTGTGCTGTGGAGGCTCTGGGGGGATTATTTTAAAGTCCCTTTTGGCTGGGAAAATCTGGATTTCATAAGCCCTTTTCAGTGAGAATTTTTTGCAGTTTTTCACAGTGATATCACTTTAAGGCTTTCCATAGCCGCAGAATTTCTTCCAATTAATGGAAAAAACATTAATGTCCGTTTAGGAAAATAACTTTTCCATTGCAGAAGGAACTCTCTGGTTGTGCCTCAAGCAGCAACAGGCTCTGGATGAGCAGGTCCTGGAGAGGCCCAGAGAGCACAACAGAGCCACACAAGGGGCTGGGGCGGCCCTGCTGAGCCCAGGGTGCTCTGTGATGTGCCCTGGTCAGGTGCCAGCCGTGCTGCACCATCTGTGCCCAGGTGTCCTCCCCATCACCTCCTGCCCGAGGGGCTGGGGGTCACCAGGACTGGCAGAACAACCAGAGGCACTTTGGTTTCCCTCAGACAACTTGGAGCTGCCCTTTGCCCTTGCAGGAGTCATGTGCCAGTAAATGTGCCAGGCTATGATATGGAGGATGGAGCCTGCCTTCAGCATCTGGGCTCACCCTGGTACCAAAGAGGAAAACATCATGTCTAGAGCTCCATGGGAAAGTTTCCAAACATCAAGGAAAAGTCACATCCTATCCCTTCTGGGAGTTAAACCAGAATTCATATCTGACATAGTGACACCGAGAAACCTGCATGGCAGCACAGCCTGGCAAGGAACACCCTGGGCTTCTCAAAAGACAGAAAGCAGCTTAGAAGACATTCCTCCAGCTGGCCCCAGCTCCTGGGATGTCCCTGGGAAGCACAGCTCATGCCTAGATGCAGCCCTGGGTGTTCTGCTGGCAAACCCCCTGCTGGTGCTGGGACAGTGGTCAGAGTGAAGGACTTGCCCTTGCTGGAGAGTCTGAAGCAGCAGCAGGCACACAGCTCTGAGGAATCTGAGGCTGCTGGGAGAACATCACCCTGCTCCTCCCCATTATTCCAAATCAAAGGAATTATGGTTTTTTCGGCCCCTGATAGGTTCAGTCAGTCCCTAGGACAGAGATCAGACGGTGTAAACAGGACACGCTTCAGCAAGGCTGTAAATACAATTTATGGCTGCTGCAGCCTGCAGTGCTCAGAACATGAGACCTTTCAAAAGCACATGTGCCTTTTTCTTACTTAGAGATTTCACCATTTGGGAACATTTGATCCCCTGTCAGTTTTTGGGATGCCAAAATGTCTGTGAACAATGTTGAAAAGCTGACAAGTGTTTCAGTGACCTGCTTTGCTCCCCTGTGCCGTGTGCTGCTGTTTTCTGCACGCTCAGTTCAGACACACACCCTTGCACAGGGTGTGACCTGCTGCGGCCAGTATTCCCAAATTTGGCTTCTACCTAGAAATAAAGTCACTTTCTCCACTTGCTTGCAAGTTCTGTGACCCAGAATCGTCCTTTAATACCTCAGGATCAAGCACCTGGGGGAAAATGTTGGGGAGATAAAACAGGAGAAAAGAAAACAGCAAAAAACAACCACACAGGACATTGCTGAAGGTGTTCCCTTATTTCCCTTTCCTGGGGGTGTCCAGCTGCTTCTCCCAGCCTGTACTGGGTGCAATGGGCAGCCCCCAGGTGCCCAGGCCCCACAGCCCCAGCTTGTCCAGAAGAGCCGAGGAGGTGGAAACTTCACTCCTTCCAACTGCAGTTTTCACTTGAAACCCTTGGCGACATTTCTGTTTTGCTTAAGATCAAGTTCCACCTTCTCCCCGTGGTGCAAGAGCTTGGCCCAGGTCTCAGAGGTCTCTGGCACTGGCAGCAGCCTCTGGAGCAAGTGGAACTCTCGGGGAGATGGGAGGAACTGCTCGGTGCTGTTGGCTCTGCCGGGCAGCAAACCCCGCTCTCAGACACAGCCTGAGCAAAACCATCTCCTGTCCCTGTGGCGTGGAGGCACTGAGGGCTCCTGGGGAGAAAACAGGACAGAGGCAGCTTGGGGAGCAAGGGGGGGAAATCTCATCCTGACAGAGAGAGGGGGACAGGAGCACTCCCCACCCCTCCCAGCCCGGAGATGAGACTGTTAAACTCAGTGACAGCACAGAGAGGGATTTTCTCTCAATGAAGCCTTAAAGGGTTTTAAAGACTTAACAAAAATAGCTTTGAACAGTGTCTGAAATGGTTCAGCTCTGGGGTTCCAGGCTTTGAGCAGAGTTGTAGGAAATTTTCTGATGGAGAATTTCCATTGGAAATGGCGGTTTCAGGAAACTGAGGACATTTCACAGGGATAGATTAATTTCAAGGACATTTTAATGTGGATTTTGTTTTGCCAGTGCTGATAGTTTTCTTCAGTGTTGATCTTTGCATTTCACCAAATATTTAACAAGTAACAATAATATTTGCTAAGAATATCGAATTTCAGCAAACTTTGAGGCGTGACTTTCTCGACTCAAAGCACCATCTTAACAACCATTTTCTGCACAGGATACACGCTGCTTTCCAGCTGGTTTTAATCCCTAAATGCAAAGCTTTGCTGTGATTGTTACTTTGAATGATGTCAATTCAGGATGATGAAAGCACTGGCGATGACATCATTCCTGCTGTTTGGGGATGGGGCCATTCCTGTGTTTGGGGATGGTGACACTCCTGCTGTTTGGGAATGGGGCCATTTCTGCTGTTTGGGGATGGTGACACTCCTGCTTTTTGAGGATGGAGCCATTCCTGTGTTTGGGGATGGTGACATTCCTGATGTTTGGGGATGGGGCCATTCCTGTGTTTGGGGATGGTGACATTCCTGTGTTTGGGGATGGGCCATTCCTGTGTTTGGGGATGGGGCCATTCCTGCTGTTTGGGGGCCATTCCTGCTGTTTGGCCACGGGGAGCTCCTACCCTGGGAGGTGTTGGCACAGGAGCCGCAGGAGCCCAGTGACAGCAGGAGGACACAACGGTGCCACACGGGTGGCTGTGTGCTGTTATTCTCCTTGGCTGTGCCTCCTGACTCTTCCAGGGGTCCACACACATCCCAAGCCAAGGGAGCAGTGGGAGAAGCTGGGGGGGAGCAGAGCAGTGGGAGCCCCATGGCCCCACAAGGCTGTGTCTGTGAGGGTCCCCATTCCCACAGGGATGGCCCCAAAGCTTCCCAGAGCTGCTGGAAGGGCTGGCAGTGCAGCAGGAGCACCCACCAGCCCTTCTTGGGGGTTCATTTCTTGGGCTTCTCCTATTTCTTGGACTTCTCCCTTGGCAGGGACAGATGAACCAGCACCTCAATTGGTGTGAATATGGGAATTAGGTCTGAAATCAGGGAAAGGGAGAAGTGACTCCAGTAAGAACCTTGCAGGTAAAAGGAGCGGGGAGGGCAGTTTAGGGAATTACTACTCAAGGAGAAATCCTGGCTGGGGAACTCATCCAGGCTCTGCAAAAGGGCACAGAGCCAGGGAGAAGACCCCGAGTGCCCAGGAAAACTTCCAGAGGCACAGGCGGCCACGGCGTTGGAGTCCTGCCGGGTTTGTCAGCGGCGCGATAACGGCGGCGATCGGGGGATAGCGGCGGCGATAGCGCTGCCACCCGAGCTGATGCTATCGCGCCGAGGCTGAATGGGCTCCCGCAAGCCCGGAGCTTTCCTGTGGAGCCTGAAGGAAATAAAGCCCTCGGTACAATAAGCGGATCAGATAAGCCGGGAGAAAAAATGGAATTGCATAAAGTAAAAATAACTCATCTCTGCCGTTTTCACCGCACACAAAAAGCAGAAGCTGATCCCGAAAGATACCTGATGTTCCTGCTCTGGGGATCTTGCTGTTAAGAAAACCAGGGAGATCTGGAGCTGGAGTCAGCACATCTCTCCTTGCCGTCCTTCCAATAGCACGCAGGGAAGCTGTGAAACCCAGGAAATGCTAGTACTATATTTTATTACATTTTAAAGAGACAAAAATCCTCTGGCTCAAATCCGCTGTGCAAAACAAACACAGTTGGAGTTCTCTCTCTGCATGCTGGGGCACTCACTGAGCACACACGGAGTGACTGTAACATAACGCTTTCCTAAGGGCTCCCGAGCTCCAGCGGGGCCCCAGCCTGACTTGGGGAAGGAATTGGGTTCACATAACCCTCACTTAAAAAATAGACTGGCACATTTTTGCTTTATCAAACTCTATTTGCAAAAGACTAGGGCTAAATGATCTGAAAAGGTTATTTTGAAACAGGGTCACCCTCACTGCCACAGGTCTAATAAAACAAAACTATGGCCAAATTAGAAACATATTTCATCTAATAGGGGAAAATATAATTGGTGAATCTGTCTGGTGTTTGACCTACAGTATTTATGCTAAATGAAAGTTTAAATATATCACAATGCAGCACGAACAAGAAAAGCTGCATTCACTCTCTGTTCTGTGGTTTGATCCCTTCCCCTTAACCCTTAGCTCCACACGAACGCCAACATCAGCATTAGCTTTGGCTGTCCTGCTCAGATGCTGTGAAGCAGAAGGGATGGCCAAGGGCTGCAGGAGTGATGAGTGATTCTGGGAAAATACCCGGGAAACCAGAAGGGGGTTCAGAAACTGCTGTGGGGTGTCCCTCTAAAACTGAGGCCCCTCGGGGTGGGGATTCTGACATGCAGCTCTGACACTCTCCATGTGCCTGGTGAGGTTTGAAGCCAGGACCTAATTGATGCTGGACAGGAGGATGAGGGGGCACAGTGTGGGGGTCCTGGCTGTGCCATCCTTAGGGCACACAGAGCCGTGTGGGCACACACGGGGTACCACCAAACCAGGGATTCTGCATCATCAGAGTGAAAACATCCCACCCTGGTCATGAATGTGGCGTGCAGGGCTGGTGCTGAGCTCACTGCGCTCGCTGATGATGCAGGAGGTGCAATTTGTGGTCAACCAGCTGTTTGCAATTCCCATCTCTTGGAGAACCCCTCCTCCCACCACCAAATAATTTATGTTCCGCATAAAAGCGAGAGGATCCTTGAGCAGCAGTGATGGATGAAGGAGATTATTAACAGGGATATCATTTTAAGAGTGTCTGTCTTTTGGTTCCTCGTGGTTACATAACATTTCATAAATTTCCTAACAGATTGGTTCCTGACTGGTTCACCTGAGAGCAGCACCTCAGCCAGCCCAGTGGGATCACAGGGTGCCATGCCCTGAACCCCAGGCTGAGCACAGCTCCATCCACAGGGATCTGCTTTCCATGCACCACACAGATCCTGCTTCCCCAATCCCAAGCCTGACCCAAGTGAAAATAACTGGAACAACCACAAGGGAATGCTCTCATCGCCCTTGCCCACGCAGAGAAAAGATCAGGTGAGGTTTTGGCAGCATGGGTGACACAAGCACAGTTTATCCTTGTCTAGACACCAGCTTCAAGCCCCAGAGGTGGCATCAGTGCTGCAGAGTCCCCATCCTTAGCCAGGAGGAGAAGCCAGCCCCCGCCTGTCCCCCACCCCCCGGATCCCCACAGCAAGAAGGGCTGGTTGGACAAACAGCCCCAGGAACCTTCCGGGCACAGCCCCCTCCATGCCACAGCTCCCTGCCTTCCCTGCCTGCAGCCCCCACCTGGAGCCATTTCAGGAGATGGTCTCCCTCCCCCAGCACGGGGGAGGAGCAGGATGGCAGGGACACAGGGAATCTGAGAGGAGCTCTCCTGGCAGGGACATGTGCTGCTCCCCGTGTTCCCCTGCATTCAGCAGAGCCCTGTAGCTCAGCCAGACACACGCAGATATGATTCATCCCTCGCAGGAGTTCAGGCTGAAAACAAACATCTCAACCAAACAATCCTTTCAAGTCCAAGTCCCAGTCAATGGCCTCCTCGGGCAGGAGGAGGGATGCACAGCTCTTCCCTCTGGGACACCTGGGGAGCTCAATGCAGGACCAGGTTCTGCTCTCTAGGCCTTGGCAAGCCAAGTGAGACACGCTGAAACCCCGAGCAGAGCAGCAGGACTGCAACCCCGAGCTGAGAAAATGGACTGGGGAGACAGGGATCTTCTTTCTTTTCCTTTATTCCCCCTTTTTCTTTTTTTTTTCTTTTTTTTTTTTTTCTTAAAAACCTTCATGTGGAAGAGAAAGGGGCTAATTAAATTCTTTTGCTGAACATATTTAGCGAGTCTTTCAGAGAAGTGATTGCGTTTGGCCGCAGTCCAACAGCCAGGAGATAGGATTGTGCTCAGGAACAGGCAGAGCAGAGCGCTGATTTAGGAGGATCCAGGCAGATCCCAGCTGACAGGGTCTGGCCTGTCTCAGGCACTGTGGGAGGAAGGATGAGGGTGGCCAAGGTGGCTTTCTTGAATTCCTGGTGCGTGAGGTTGAGGCGGATCTCATCTCCATGACATCCCCCAGGGCTGGATTTACAGCGTGCCCCACAGCTCCTCCCCGGCACTGAGTTATTGTTTAGTCAGCACCCAGCATCCCAAGCATCCAAAAACCAGCAGAATTTCTTGTGGCACCAGCAGCCCCAAGGCCCCACTCAGCCCTGCACCAACACCAGCTGATGCAGTGCATCCCAGCCTTGCTCATATTCAGCTGCCACCAAAACCACGTCAGAGTTTGGCTGCTGGGCTGAGCTGATTTTCAGGCAGATTTTCGGGCTGATTTCCAGCTGAATTCCAGGCTTCCTCGCTGGGTGCCGGCTGTCCCAGGGTCGGGACCCTCCAGGCAGGACTGTGGAAGGCTGTGAGCTGTCCACCGCAGATGTTCCCGGCTGGCACCGAGCGCCCCTCCGGAGTCTTGGGGATGCTCCACAAGCACCGGGGTGCCCCAAACCCGGGGGCCACAGCACCAGCACGGCCAGGGGGGGTTCCCTCCAAGGAGGAGGCTGAGGGCAGCCCGGCCCTGAAATCCCCCCCATTCCCGAGGCAGGGAGGTTCCCTGTCCCTGGCACCGCGGGACACCCTCCCCGTGCAGCAGCTGCCCGGCGGGACCCCGGCCCCTGCGGGGTGGCACATTTACATCGCCTCAGCACATTTCCATCTCTTCACCTATTTCCGGGGCAAATTGCCTGGTTTTATGGCGCCTGACCGGCTCCCTCGGGGACAGCATTAGACGGGCAGGCAGTGAACCACGACAAGAGGTTTTGCTTTTCCCACAAGGTTCCTGTGAGAAAGCCCTCCCTTCTTCCCTCCCTCCCTCTCTCCCTCCTGCTGCCTTCGTCTCATCTCCAAGGGCTCTGCCTCAGTCTCTCCCACCCCGGGTGCTGGGGAGCCCCACATTGCTCCAGAGCACCAGCCAGCACCAGGAGCTGCACCCCAGTGCTCAGCTGCTCTCTCGGCAGGCTTTTATCTCAGATTTCAGCTCTTTGGTGCGGGAGAAGCCTGGAAATGGCTTTAAAGCCTGAGATGTGCCAGGTACAAATCCTGTTTCTTTCATCCCAGGGCCCTGAGCATCACCAGCCTCATGGCATCGAGGGCTGTGCCAACACTGGGGTCTGGTGGCTGGCACCACACTGTCCCCAGCACTGCTGTGTGACAGGAGGGGCCCACGGTACCCCCAGACAGCCCTGCTTGGGTCAAACTCTGTCCTGGGGCAGCAGTGCTGGCCAGCAGCATTCCCAGGAGAACTGGAGATCCCCTGGGAGCCAGAGTCCCAGCAGGACCAGTCAGACAGGCTGAGAGGTGGCTGATGTCCCCTGCACATGTCCCTTGGAGCTGGGACTCCCACCACCTCACTCACATGAGGCACTGGGCTGGGAACATCCCAGCAGAGACGGCTTCAGCCCCAGCAGATGTTTCAAATTTGTTGTTAACCCATATTTATTTGGACTGATAATAGCAGGCAGCCCTCCAATTGTGCCGGGAGTTTTACAATAAACTCAAGCTCACTCTATCAAAAGCAAATCGATTTACAGTGATATTGGCCTCACCCATCCACGTGGTTCCCACTGGCATCTTGGGGTCCCTCCAGGATGGGATGGCCCCCAGTGCAGGTCCTGGACCAACTTCTCCAAGAGTCCCCGCAGCACCACAGGCTCCCTCAGCCCCTTCTCCAGCTAAAGCTCCTTTTTAATTGCCTTCTGAGAGGAGCAGTGACACTCTCCACAGGGAGGATTGATTTAGACATGCAGTTTTCTCCACAGACTTCACAAACGGTTGTAACAAGGTCACAGAGAAAAACAATTTTATCCTCTGATTACTGTAACATGATATGAGCTTGGAATTGCATCCACTTGGACTATTTATTTAGGCATTGCTTGTCTGGTCCCTGAAGAAAACTCCTCAGTGTAGGAAACACAGGCAGACAGGGCAAGGATTGCTCCCAGTGTTTCCCAGTGCTCCCAGTGCTCCCCAGGCACCTGCAAGGGCAGTTCCAGGGTGCTGGAAGGGAGCCGCTGCAGCTCCAGCACCAGCAGAGCTCAGCACAGTGCAAATTAAAAAATGAGGTGCATTTCCACTGGATGCTCCCTGGGTGAAGATCATCTTCCTGCATCCTTTCTCGTGAGCCCAGAATGGTTTGTTTAGAAAGTGCAGCAGGGGAAGCACACAGCTCATCACCTCCTCCTGATCAAGTCAAATCCACACAGAAAAATGAATCCAGCGCTTGCAGGCACGTCACTGCGTGAGAATACTCATCCAGAGTGAAATATTACAAATAATCAGTGAATTGTCAAAATAATGGGAATATAACAAGGTCAGAAGACTGAGACATCCGATCACAATCAGCCCTAATTCCAGCAAAGCCACGTTTAAAGGAGATTGTTTTGTCAAAGGTTTTTCATGGCCCGGTGGCTTTGTAGCACAAGGTTGTTTGGATCAAGTCATTTCTGATGAACATTTATTATGGAGAGGAAATGTCACATCCACTCCACACTGTGAAAGTTCATAAACTTGCTCAGATAATTTAAGAACTTCTCAGCCCATAACCTGTTGCCTCAGGAATTATTTAAATGCAGAGTACAGGCAGAGCGTGAGCTGGGACAGTGGCTCTGGCACCCAATGTGGGATGCCAGGACTGCACTGCAGGAAGCCCAGGGATGCCTGCCTGGCACAGGTGGCACAGAGAGACCTGGGAACAGCCCAGTCCCACCACCTGGGAACAGACCAGGCACTGGGATTCGGCGTGGAAAATGTGCACAGCAATGCCCAGGGGTGCCCAGGCGCCAGCAGAGCAGGGTGGGTGCCCAGAGATGAGGTGCCAGCCCTCGTTCAGGAGCGTCCCAGCACGTCCCTGCCGTGAGGGTTAACTCTGCTGGTGCGGGGGGTTTTGCTGACTCTCTGCTCTTACATCACGGCTCTGCTATGAGGCCTGGCAGGGCTCCCGCTCTGCAGCTCCTCTGTCAGCTCTGGCACAGGCCAAGGGAGCCTGGGCCAGGGCAGCAGGGAGGGGGCACAGGCACTGAGCCCACCCACCCCTTTGCTGGGGCTGCAGGGGGTTGGGGGGTGGAAGGGGGAAAACTGCTTGTGCAGCTCCCAGGAGCTGCTGGCTGGGCTGAGGCTTGGGGAGGTGGCTCTGTGCAGCACAGCTCAGCGTGGCACAGCGTGGCACAGCGTGGCACGGCACGATGGGACCCCGGGATGCCCTTGGTCCATCAGGACAAGCCGTGAATCCATGGATTTCCACGGGAGCAGCGGAGCCTGGATGCGCCCGGCCCCGGCCCCACGCTCCGACAGCGAGGCACCGGCCTCAGGAATGAACTCACAGAGCAAAACCAGGCAGCCTGAGTCAACTACTCCCTAAAATCATCAATTACACCGTGACAGCCCAGAAGGAGAGGAGGGGAAGTCGGGGACACGCTGCTGAGGGGAGGGGAAGGCCAGAAGGAGAGAGCAGTAGTTAAAGGCCCGCTGTGGATCAGGAGGCACGATGGCATTTCCAGATGCACAGAGCCTTGGGTGGGTGTGTGACAGCTCCAGAGCCCGAGTTTGGAGAGCTGGAGCCGAGCTGGAGCAGCGGGATGAGTGCCATGGGAGAACGGGGGGCACTGGAAGGCACCTGGGCCCATGGGGCTTACAGGCAATATTCATACCCTGAAAGGGACAATGAACACACAGTTGGTAAAATTTACAGGTGAGACTCAGCTGGGCTGATTTGGGATGAGCTGCACACACCCCCCACAGCAGAAGACATGGAACTTGGAAGAACCAGGGCAATGCAGGATACAACCAAGGGAAACACAGCTGGAACAGCCAAGACATGAGGGAGTGAGAGGGAGGAAACAGGAGGGTCTGGATGGGAGAGGTAAAAACGATTTCAGACAGAAAATCTGGGATGAGTCTGCAATGACGGATGGGAAGCAAAGATCGTTTCCAACCCCGCTGTCATTTCAGTCCGTGGGACCAAGGCAGATCTCACTCAGTTTGATGCTGAGTCCTGCAGAGCCTGCCCATGCTCTGGGCTGTCCCAGGACTGCCATGAGGGACCCAAGAGGATCCACAGCAGCTCCCTGGAGGGCCTCTGAGCTCTCCACTGCTCTGGCACCCCCAGCACAGCCAGGGCACCCCCTGTGCCACACGACCCATCCAGCAATGCCAGACCCACCCTGGACACTGACTGCAGCTGCTCCATGATCACCTTTTTATTTAAAACACAAAAATATCCACAAAGAACCAGCAAGCGCGTCTTCTCCATTCAACATCTGGAACATCAATAAAAGATGGACGGAGAAAGGGATTTCTTTGGAGAGTAGGAAACAAAGTGCCTTGCCACTAACTTATTTTAGTGCTTCTCTGTAATGTGATTTCCAGTTCCTTTGGTTATCAGGAACCCCCATTGTTTTCCCTCTGAAGAGGTGATTTCAATGCCCAGCACACTGCAGCCCATGTTTGGGATTCTGGGGTAGTTTTTTGATATCCACTAATTTCTCCATGCTGAGGCAAATTTGTCACACGCATGGGTCTGTTTGATTTCATTAAACAGAATATTTAAGCATAAAAATTGTTTAATCGCCTTGTGTCATTATGAGATGAATTTCATTTTGCATACATTTGCATATTTCATCAAAATTAAGGCTGCTAATATGCAAATGAGAGCCAGGTTGCGGCTGAGGTGTTTATTGTAATAGCTGCAGGCTGTTCCACTTGAAAAGCTTCTGGGCGGTGCAGTGGAGGGGATGCAGGGACCCCTCTGAGCACCTTTTAGAATCAATTTGCTGGAATTTCTCCCTCTAATGTCCCCCAAAAACTGCCCAGATCTGGGATGAGCACACAGGAGCCGGGATGGGCACCCAGGGCCTGCAGTGAGTACTTGGGGTCTGGGGTCTGGGCTCCCACCCCAGACCTTGTCCCTCTGAGCTGGGAGGTCTCTCCCTGTTCCCCGCAGAGCCATTGCAATAAAAACAACCCCAACCTCATCCCTGTGGTAGGAAGATCCCCCCAGGGCCAGGGCTGCACCCAGGAAGGTCCCTGGGGCTGGGAAAAGTCCCAGAAATGTTTTTCTCCCTGCAAAGCCTGGGGAATGAGGCGTCTCCCTGCTCTCATTGAACACAGTGAAGGTCAAGCACCAAGTTCCTTCAGACCCATTTGAGAGGCCCAGACAGACAAATCATGAAAATCAATCCACAGTGGGTAATTAATGCAGCCTTCATTAGCACGCAGCAGCTGAACGATCTGCATCCAGCGCTCTGTGCTTCGTGGCAGCCCAATAAATCGGGATGGATCCCGCTCTCCCAGCACTGGGCCCTGCCTCACTTTTCTTTCCTGATCAATGCAAGGCCTCCCCAGCCCTGGCACCATCAGCACTTTCTCTGCTCCAAGTGTGAAGCTCCACAAATTGTGTATGATGTGGCACCAGGCCCTCGCAATTTGTTTTTAAAATCTACTCTTGGCTTGTTTTTTGTTAGAGACTTTATGTTTTTAGCCCATTCCAGAGCATCGTTTTTGTAAAGAGCAGCCCTGTCTTGGGCAGCTGTTGGATTGTGGATGATGCAGGAAAAGCCCTTGATGAGTGATCAACTCCTTCAAATGGAGTTGAGCAATTAAACCAAAATGGAGTGATGAGCACTGCAGACATCCATCCATCCATCCATCCATCCATCCATCCATCCATCCATCCATCCCTCCATCCCTCCATCTTACATGGAGCCTGTCCTGCTGACTCAGCCAGTTCACCATGCAGAGGCACAGACCCTCCACGGATGATGTGAGCAGCAAAAAGAAAGAGTTTGTGCCAATTTTTAAATATTTTGAAATTCGCATTTAAAGCACAAGGGGCTTTTTCAGCACATACTAATCGAATCAAAATTTATCACTTCTCCAAAGAAAACTCAAGCAGTGTCTTTGCTTTCGTGCTCAGAGATAAGCCTTGCCTGGATATTAAGCAGGGGTATTCCTCAGTTTTTAGGGGGATTTTTGTAAATATTAGCCGTGAATGGCCACTCCACAGCGATTTATAAGGGAAGGTAACCCTGCACTCCCACAGCAAAGGAATGCAAATCCCCAGGGCTACTCCCAGCTGCTCCCTTCCTCACACAAGGAAGGCAAATGGGACCACCTTAAGCCTGTCTGAGAGACTGAGGCGCAAAGGTATTTGTTTAAAAAAAAAGTGTAGTGATTGCAGAGAAAAGAGAAACCTGAGAGCTCCTTCCCGAGCAGTCAGACAGGGTCACCAAAACCAGACTAAATAGTCTGACTGAGGGCAAAGCGCGGGGCTGGCTGAAAACTGATCCTGGGGATGGAGGAGCAGCCACAACCGCCGGGGCAGGAGGGCCGGGTGGGAAAGCAGAGCCACCAGAGGGACCGTGGTGTGACAGAGCCACCAGAGAGGGGCTGGAGGTCCCAGAGAGCAGCTGGAGGGACCAGAGAGTGGCTAAAGGGAGGTGGCAGAGCCACCAGAGAGGATGGAGGGACTGGAGAGTGTCAGGAGGGACCCGAGAGCATCCAAAGTGACCATGGTGTGACAGAGACAGTGAGGAGTGGCTGGAGGCAGGGACAAACCCAAATCCCTCCAGTGCCTGAGGGAGAGGAACAACTCAGAAACAGCTCAGAATTCATCCTCTTTTCAGGGACTTGGAGCCAAATCTAGGAACACCTGAGAAGTGGCTGCAGTAGGACCAGA